TAGTTGTCACCGTTACTTGACCCCTCCTGTCATAGTCTATCAGGTCCGAGAACCGGCTTGTTTTGTAGGTAACCATTCCACTGCCGAGTAGAGATGGGGTGGATAGACCACAGTTAGGCCAACAGACAGACCTCGTGATCCTGGTATATTTCAAACTGTTTTTTTCCTAATTCCAGGCCACCCCATCCGCAGTTGCAGCCTCGAACAGTCGGCGTCCTTTGAAGGAAACCACAAGCCGCACAAACCGCCGTACGTGAGGCCAATCGGCGCGTTAGCAGGAAAACTCCGCCCTTGAGCCATTGTCTCTGGTCTTCCCTTGCGCACGGCGCATTGCAATCCAACTGTGATAGGTTGTATTAGTTATCCCCCTTTTTGTACTTGCGTTAAGCCAATATGCATTTTCGAATTCAAGCCATTAGGACACATTGTCAATTGCCTGCCACGGCCAACTATCGCTCTGACAACCACTCCCTCTAGTCCACAGATTTTTCTATCTTAGCTAGCTTTGAAATGCTGGCTATTCTCGTTCCCCGCAAACATTTTCCCCAAACTTCGCCCTCTCGATGTTCTTTTACTTTTGTAATGCCAAAATAAACATTTGTACACTATTTTTACTCATTTGGGAGTCTGGACTACCCTAGCAGGTTCCGACGTCTGATTATTTGTGGGTGGCCTTGTCTAGTTTGGCGGCTATGTGTGTTCACTTTTGTTCTGAACCCTCACATTTGGGAATATTATCGTGATTACGTAGCAGTACATACTACTGATCCTCTTTGTAGATTGCTAGTACGTGTAGTTGAGGAGGCCACAGTGAATCTCATCACCCGCTAGAGATGTTGCCCCGTTGAAGCCAGTCACACTCTTTTCCTTACCTTTGAATACTCTTGGCTAGTAGTTTAGTTCTCCTCTATCCTAGTAACTACAGTAGCTATCTTGTAGTGCAATATAGCAAAGCAGATGCAAGGCGACAGTGAAATGCGGATCGACGTGGAACGGAGAATTTTGCGATATACCATATTCTCCGACTGCGTTGAAGCGATGTGTTTTTAGTTTAAGACGCGCCCTTTCGCTGTATAATCCTTGTCAGCTCCCGCCTTCTTTGTATTATACCCCAATAGGTAGACGGAAATGGCGAGAGAGCCGGGTTCTGAGAACAGAAATTTTATTTAAGGCTAACAGAAGCAGTGGATCTCTTACCTCGTCAGCCAATGGTGTGCGGTGGGTATTCTGGAACATCCAGGCCTGCACGCTGATTGGTCGTTTCCCATGCCCTAATGCCCTGGCAGAAGTTCTAGAATATTTGGGCCGCATACATGAGTGGGCGTCGCAACGACAGCGCAATTTGCTTGTCCGCACGTGTGGCTCAGCCGTAAGCGACGCGGTTCCCGTCTCCGTAACCTTCCGCCTTGGAAAGTTGGACTTAACATTTAGAAAGACCGCCTTCCCAGCCTCGCTTCAGGTTTGAGTAAAGACCTTAGTCGGTAGGATGCCCATTGCAGCAGGAACCATATTTGACAACTGGAGGTGCTGCTTTTCCTTTCATGCCGTTTAAATATAAGTTGATCATAGACCACTGGGTTGCAGCCTTGATTACCGTCGCACTCGACCTTTCTCCGCCCACCTAGCACGCGCCTGATAAGTCAGAATTAAACTAGTATGCAAGGTCTGAAGTTTCGACGTCCCTTTTTTCTATATATGGTAATGGTTTGAATTGTTAGTCAGGAGGACTGAGAATCAATGCCGTTGGTGGGTGCATATTTATGTGTTATTGTGGTGGGGCTGACCAAATTTCCACAAGTGAAATAGCAGCAGTTGAACTACTCATAGAAAGCGGGCTGAAAGACATGTTAACAGAAACCAAGGATAACCGGAGGGCAAACAAAATTACGCGGAACAGGGAATGTCGGCAAAAAATGGAAGTTTGTGTAGA